CCTGCTGGAATAGCATCTGCAATAATCTTTTAGGACCCAGAAGTCACTGAGTGAGGTGTATTCCCAAACAATGAGAAGATGGGTCTATAAACTAGGAGACACTGAGTTACTGAAAACAGAGATATACTAAAAGGCTTTTCTAATCTCCTCGTTAAATTTCCAGCATTGCTGAATTGAAGTAGAGACAGATACTGAGGCGCTCAGGTCTAGCAGTAGCTGTTTCCCTTCAGGCTTGCAATACACTTACAAAGGTCATTTTGCACCTAGTTCAGGGTCTGAAAATCAATTTCTAGCACAGGACACATCCTTATGCATCTTGCAAAACTCCCACTTTCTTTCTTGCCATTCCAGGTTGTGGAAAGTGTCCGGTGTAGCCCATTGGCAATTTATTCAGAGTATTTCTTTCAGGATAGAAGTATAACCATTCCTAGAAAAGTCAAGATGACAAACACTGATTGCCACTTACCCTCTCCTCCTGTAGTTATGGTGATGCGAAAGCAAATTAATTAATATAAGGAACAAATTTAACAGCTTTTATAATTCTTTACTGATTCTTATACTCTTTCTTGGGACATCATCAGTTTATAATAGATGAAGGGAGAGAGGAAATTTTTATGAGCCTCTCTGTCAAAAGACTGACACAGAACATATGACAATAGACAAAGTCCAGTACCAGGACTCTTTAGCACAGCTATAGCAGCTTCACAGTGATGATTCTTTGAACTGGACCATTACTATTATAAAGTGAGTATATACGAGTAGATTCCTGATATTATAGCACTGAGGCACTTGCTAGAATATCAGAAAATCCTGAAGCTAGGACTTAAAAAGAAATCATCCTTTTAAAAACTGTTAAGAGCTCTATTATTATTCATTGGCAATAAGAATTCAACATTCTTACCTTTGGCTTTTGACTTTTCTCCTTATCAGACACATTAGATGGTTTTCTTTTCAACATTTTTGATTCACGTTTATCCAGCTGATGTGCAACTGCTACTACCTTGTAACCAGACTAAGCACAACAAAGTGTACTACACAAGCATACATCGGTTACGCACTTCCTGATTCTATCAGGATGTGACTTCACGCAGCTGCTTTGCTGCATGGGTGAGTGAGCTGAAATCTTTGCTTGGGGGGAGAGTGAGGAAGGAAGGCAGGAAACGACAGGGAAAAGAAAGACAGAGGTGCACTAAGGAGATGAGTTGAAAATGAGGACAGGGTTCAGAGTGAGAAATGCTTTTAAAACTTAACTCCTTCTGTGTCAGCATCTGGCCTCAGTAAGACTTTGGACAACCTCAAGACAATTGTCCTCTTTTCCTTTCTCATTTTTCCCCACCAAGCCCTGGGGCACTAACCCTACCCTTCATTTCAACGTGGACTGGGACTCAAATGTGAAGGTGTGCTCCTGTTCAGAGGACCAAGGGTTATTATTGCCCGTCAGATTTGCACTGCACTGTGGTACATGGTCTAGGTGGTCCCTGACACCTCCCTTTCTCTCTTAGCTTACAGTGATGCGATAAAAGCAATGAGTTAGAGGTTACTGTTTGGTAAAGAAGGGAATTTTTCTAAAACTATGTTTTGCATGGCAGAATATTTTTTTGCCATTCATCACAGAATTTGGACTCCCTAAAACAGCACTTTGTGCTCTATTCTCCTTGATATGGTGACAAAATCACAGACAGAAAAAGCAAGTCAAACAGAAGGCTTACAACAAAGAGACAGAGGTCCTTTATACCCTCTTGAAAAACAGCCCAGAGGCTAAATGAAAGTGGAGGTATTAAGACAGCTTTGAATTTCTGCTTCATTTTGCTTGGTATTATTCGACAAAGTCAAACAGAAAAAAAAAGGTCTTGAGCATCCTAAGTAAAACTTATTTGTTGTGGATTATAGGCCACAAAACCTGAAACCATGAACAACTCCCCACTTTTTGCTGAACGCTGGAGTCAAATTCTCAATTTCAAACGCCAAACTTTTGAGCAACCCACAGAGCTTCAATTAAATTTTAATTTAACGTTATACAAATGAAAAAGAAACCTATTTCTAAGTAAGTTGCAAGAAAATATTCAAGAGTAAGTGTCTAGAAAAAAACTTTGGTGAATTTTTTCATTTTGTTTTTCAAAATTTTGATAATATTTTTTTAAATTATTTTTCTTCAAGCAAGTCTATCCTTAGCAACTTTTGCTCCTAAGTTTTGCACAGATGAAAGCTCTTTTAAAAAAGGAAGTCACCGTGGAGGTCTCTTGCACCAAATAAGAATCCGAAGTCCTTGTGAATCCACATACTCACTACACAGACCTTTTCTTCCCTTTTCCCATTGTTTTAATACTAGATCTGGTTGAAATCCAGTTTCAAGCTAAAAGCTAAAACAAGAAACCATCCAGACTGAACACCAAAATAATTGATGGTTGAAAGCTGGTAAGAAACGCACAGGTCTTATTTCTTAAAATTAGCTTTCCCAATCCCATAAACACTTCTAATTTTTTGAAGCCTGCATGAGGATACAATGCCTGACAGGCAAGTAGTCTCTTGGCTGGATTGTTCTCATCTTCCTCTATCATATGAATGCTCCAGGTAGGGGTAAGACACTACTCATCAGGTTAATTCCCCTTTCAGCTTGCTGTTTGGTCTTTTATTTAAATTTCTTGAAAAAAATTTCTTGAAAGAAAAGTTTTGGAGGCCTCCATAGGTTCTGATGGATGGGTGACTGATGGACAGAGACTAATTGACTGACTGATGAAAGAATAATTATTATATGTTAATGGTATAATGAGGTTTTCCTTTAGAGACCTTCTAAGAAATGGCTTGATAAGAAATGGTGGAGGAACTGGGGTTAACGTGCTGAAATTCTTTGAAATATGCAAGACTGTTCTCTAGGTTATTTAATTGCAGTGGAGAACATGTTGAACCTCAACCCATTTATTAAGAGGTTTTGCTTCACATTTTAATCAGAAGTACACTCATCTAGAACAGAACTGAATTTATTATTGGTATTATTAATAACAAAGTTCACAATAACTGTTTTATTAATAATAAAATTAATTAATAATAATGGTGAACTCTGAAAGATATGTTTCTTTTCTATATCTAACCCCACATGAAATGGCCATTTAAGTTTCTAAATGTAAGGAGGTTTTACCATGGATATTTAATCAGTCTTAGCAATTCAGTAGGGCCATATGTTGTTATAAAAGCTGTATGCATGTTTAATGGTAATTAAACTTGATTATTTATCTACATAGATGTACATAGCATTATATTGTTTTTATTTTTAATCTGATCCAAACGTGAGTATTAAATCAGACTCTATGATCATTAGACTGTGATTTCCTGTCTCAGGCCACTGTTAAAATCTTAATGATTATTAATCTGAAGAGTAATAAATGAGCTTCCTTTCTGTAGAATATTTATTGTTAAACAGGAAGAGAGAGGCCATTTCTCTTACATACAGAGATGTAGTACCCACCCATATCTATTTCCTTTCCTCATCCACATATCAGAAAAATTATAGCAGCTTGAAAGCTGACCTGGTTATGTTCTTGCCCTTGGAAGGCTGACCCACACTAGTTTTAGAAAATAACAAAGTGAAGAAAATCAAACATACATAACATTAAGTTCATTTAATTTAGTTAACCAATACATTTCAAAAGAAGCAGTTTTGAACTCAAAATTAATAATAAGCTTGGTGCTTATATCCTCTGTATTTAAAGCTAATTTTTCAAAGGGGAATGAACATCTATGTAAAATTAAAAGAAAAATTCTCATTCTTAGTTTTCTGTTAGATATGACTGTAGGTGACTTATTCTCTTTCCTTGCTGGTCTTTGAACCTGATCCAAACCCCAGTGAAATCAATAGATGTTTTACAGCTGAATTTTATGGTGCTTGGATTGAGTCCTCCATCCTGAAATATCCAGGTAATGTCATTCTTCTCTCTGGGAATTCTGATGGGGAAAAAGGCAATCCGCTTAAAAATAGTTAAGATAACCCCATGAGAATGATTCCCCCATTGTTATATTTATAAAAGGCAACATACCTTATAGCTTATTATTATTATTATTATTCAGTTTTAATGAATGGACCATGATGAATTATCCTGGATGTTCGAGTACTTTATGTGCATCCCTCCCATGTGATATCAAATGCCATCCCCTCAATGGCTCCATCCAGTTACCTTGTCTTGAAAGGGGAAATCACTTCCAGTCTAAACTGTAGATGTAAACTTACCCTTTCAATACTCAATTATTCTGATAAAACTAAAAAGTAGAGTAAATGACTGCTGTAGCTGAACCCAGAATAATAGTGCAAAGTAGACTGAAGTGTTTAGCGTACTGGCCACCTGCTAAAATGGCAAATGAAATGAGATCTTTTTCATGTTAGCAACTTGGTTTTCATTGTCTGACAGACAGTTCTGGTCCAAGTTTAACCAGAGACTCAGAGATACCTTGGGCTGTACGTGGCTTTCCCTAATGCTAAACAAGCCCAAAGTGTGTTAGTCTGTTTATTTTAATTAATGTAAGACTTGTATTTTGCACAATAAAGGAATCATGCCTTTAGCCTCCGATTTTATGGCCATGCCTCTCCCTGAATGATCTATCTCCCTTAGATATTGCAGAAATCTCAGAATAGCAAGTGGAGCTGAGTGAATAATTTGCAGTGAATAATTTACTTAATTTTAATCCGTGCTTCCTCAAGGAATGCTCATGAGCAGAAGACAATTTCTTCACACGTATTAATTATGGGCCAGAACATAGCTAGATACTTCCCTCTCCTGGTCTAATCTAAGCAAGGGCCAGCCACAGTTAGTCACTGCTACTTCTCAGTAGAGCTCTCTCCATAAACCACCATGGCAAAGACTACAGAAACTAAAAGGAACAAGTGTGAAAAAGTGAAGTTAAGCCCTCGCTCCCCTGCCAACAACCCCTGAAAGAAATCAGACGTTGCAGGCTAAGATGTCTTTATAACTATTTAAACAAAACAGTGGCTTTTAATTTTAGCTCCAAAGATTACGGCTGTGGTTTTCCATTGGGATGCTGGGGAATAGAGCTAGATACTTGAGGTCTCATTTTGAAACTCCCACACTCACCACTGTGAGCATTCAGAACTTAGTACTGAAAACTGGTCCAAAATGCGTAGGGCCTTCAAGTAACTGTGTGTAATTTCCTGTTGAATAGGCTCGTAGGTGCTTTTCATCAGGAATAAAAATGAAGAAGCTACAGAATCTCAGAGTCTTCAAGAGACAAAATGGGATTAAAGAATATTTTAAGTTTACACCCTTGATTTGGCAGTGTGTTGACCTTATGTCAAGAAGATTCCTATCCCATACAAAGTATAATTCTTATGAAACCTGCAGAAATTGGCTATTCAGCAAAGCTAATAACTAACATCTGAAGTTGGCTTCAAAAACTTGATTTTTGCTAAATAATTTATATCGGGGGGATTTTTAATGCTGTATATCCACTGAAACAGCATGAAGGAACAAGTGGAGTCTAAGCATGTTTAAGCAATTGTCAGGGTGCAGAGAGGCAGGAATAGCCTGTCCCAGGAATTGTGAGTTTGGCGTCTCTCAGACTATTTGGCTTCCTTCTCATCCTGAAAAAGTGTGTTTATGATTCTTTCTTCTCATATGCTAATCCTTTGCCACAAAGGTCAATGGAGTCACAAAGAAGTATGGCAGGGACAGGTTATAGAGCATCACTACTAGAGCTCCTACTGAATTTAAAGACATCTGATACACAAAGCAGTTGCTACTCTGTGAGTAAGAAAAAGTACCTCATTTCCAGGCTCTCAGACTGTGCCCTTGGCATGCTCCCAACACTGCTTGTCCTAAGGGAAAATGAAGTACCAGGAACTTATCTCAAACTTTGAACCCAGCACATTCTCTCGAACATTAGCAGTAGATGAACAGATCAGTCATACCTACACTATGTCAGGTTCACACTAACACTAATAAAAATCTATAC